GGCAATATTTAGTGATGAGGATGAAAAAAATATGATAGCTGCTGTATCAAAATGTGGTGATTGGGGATTCCCTTTAACTTTAATGGATTTGAGGTAAACATACACAGTTTGCTTATATTACAATTAGTCTTAAAATTAATTATAATTATYTTGTTTTAGATTAATCGCAAAAACATCACTAGACAAAAGAGGAATAATAGTACAAAAGTTTAAGGATAACCTTCCAGGTGATAATTGGGCACGGAGTTTGTTAAAAAGACACAATACACTGACTCAAAGAATCACTACAAACATTTCTCAATRTCACCCCGAGTCTCCCCTGCTACAATAAATTCATATTTTGATAATTTGTCTTCAGTATTAAAAGATAAACCTCCTGATAATATTTTCAATTAATTATAAAAAATACGGTACTCAAGCAATATTCATATAAAAAAAAAAACTAAATGGACCATACTGGGTATAAGTGAACTAAAAGAACTCACATTATGAGTAGTGACAGCACTTAGCTACTTAAGCAATCAGAAATTTGATTGCATAATCAAGTTTTAACTTTCATAATGGTTTATTGCAATGCTAAAGAGACCTCCAACGCCACTACTTCTARTATGGATATTGTGTTAGTGTGTTACACCACATTAGAGAAACCTATGTTGGCCAATCAATAACCATCCATTAATGAAACATGGTATATGTTCAGCACACTGTAGATTGGAAGATGGAACATTGAAGTACATATATTAATGGCAGTTGTTCACAATTCTCACAAATCACAATAATAGATATTAGATAGATAGATAGCCACGTATGTAGGTACCTACCTACGTGTCTTATTTGGTGAATAAACCATACAGGGATAAAAAAAATGGTACCWACCTACTGTTCAGAACATAATATGTACAATATTTGCGCTCAAGTCTCTTTGTTTATAACTCAGTAGATTCTGAAGAGTTGAAAACTGACATTATTGGAGAAAATCACCACAGATTACCACTAATTTTAGCAAGAGACTATGTTTTAAAACACAATACATTTCATATATTCGGAAACAGTGTAGTTAATATTATGAATTGGGAATAAAAATGTCAAAAATCAGAATTTAAATAATTTTGTTATAATAACAAAAAAATGGAGGTGAGCATGCTTGGTGATTCACACAGTATAATGCATACACTTAAATATTGGTAGATTTTTAGATAATAATGCACAAGTGTCTAATTACCTATTTTACAATATTAAATTGTAAAACTTAGTTTGTTCTAATTCAATATCACATAATTACAAAATTTTCATGAATATTGTTTATTCACATCATTATAGTGAGAACTAATAAGACAATATTATTTATCAACATAGAATCGCTTTTTTAAACCATGTTTTTACATAAGTATCAATACATAAATATTGTTTAATATTAAATATTATATTTTAATTTGTACATCCACGTGTTATATAAAATATGATGGCATAAAAGAMATTATTGAAATAATAATGGTATTATCAATGTTTTAAAAATTATATCATACATTTTTTTTTACTTATTGAGATTTTTTTTAATRTTAAAAGAAACAAAGTGTGATAATTACTTAAAAGTATACTGGACAAAACAATAATTATTATTTAAATGTCATACATATATTTTATAGGTTATAATATTTAAATTATACAAAAACAATTATCCTGTTAAATTAAAACGCAATAATTAATGTACTACTTGTTTTCTCTGTCCAAACCATGTACCACATACTAAATTTGCATTCAGTAAAATCAATTTTATGCTATTAAGCTTTAAAATTAAAGTGAATCATAGATATATTATAACTTATATAACTATAGAATTTTATGTCTATAAAATAAATTTAAATATTATCAACCTTCAAGTAAGGAATATTACCTGAATTTTTGCTTAGGTTTTTTCCACAATATTTCAATTTAAAATTTCTCACATATTGCAGAAAATTTAAAAATCAATGTGACAATGTGAATATTCAACATGCTAACATATTCTTGGCTTTAAATTTGGTAACAGATAAATTCAATCCTATATTAAAGCTAACCCCACAAAATTGGTTCTGCTGTATACAAATTTGCTAGGTTGTACATGGTGATTAGAGAGAAAACAAATAGTGCTGAAATTGTTTTAACATATGGAATTAGATCATATAAATTAATTTTTAATTCACATGAGGTGAATGTGAGGTAAATWAATCAAATTAATCTTAATGCACATCAATGAGAGCATATAAATGTAATGAATAATTAAAAACAGATTAACTTAAGTATTGCATGAAAATACAAATATTATTAAATGTATAATGATCTAAATTATCRGCTTAAAAAGCAAGATTGATATTTTACATTCAAATATTTAAGATTAATCAGCAATATTATTACTATTTTTTTGCAGTTTATTGACATTTGACTTGATACTTCTTTCAACACTGACTTGTGAAGCAGCATGTGCAAATTGTTTACTAAAAATATTTTTAATATGTTAATTATATGAAATACTTAAAAAAAAATATAGAATGTACTTACATTAAAAACTCTTTATTATATGGTTTTTGTTTTTCTTCCTCTTTTTTGTCTTCTTTTCTATAACGTTTTACATTAGAAGAACGTTCTTTATCTCTAATTTTAGCATTTTCAATCATTTCTATTCTCATTTTCTCCATTTCTTTTTCTG